CCAATCAGAATACATTTCTTTCACAGGAGCAGGAAGCAAGTTCAAAGCCCCAGAGAGGCTATAAATCTCTCTCTTACCCATGTGCTCACTTTGCCCAGGACCTCAAACCATGTGGTCCTGTCCACCATTAAACCATCTTTCCAAATAGCCTCCATATTTCCAACATCTTTCTCCCCACTTGGAACTGAATCTAGGTGGACACTTTTTCCAACATTCCCCAGCCAGTTTGTCATGCTTAAAGCCAGGACTAGAACTCATGGTCTCCTAGTTTCTAGCCTGATGCCTTAACCAAATTGTGTCATTGTTGAATATGAAGGAAATGAACACGGTTACTTTTTAAAGATTCAGCTGAATGGGAAGAAATGTAAAGACACATTACACCTCTTGGGCGGAATCCAGCCCACCAAATTTCAGTGAAATTGATGTAGGACGTTTCCAGTAACTCTTCTTTAAAATCTGGCTTTTGTGTGTGTGTGAGGGGGATGTGCCTGTAGCTGTTATTTGGGGATATAATTTGTTTTTAAAATGTAGCAAATGCAGTCTTTCCTGTGGGGAACCACTGCCAAATTTCAGACAGATGGATTTTGGTGCAAATGGAAGTGATTATATCAATGTTTATTAATGACTCATCACTTGTGTAATAGAAGGACTTGTACTGAAAGATGTTCTCTTTCATTATATCCTTATCCAGCCCTGCAAGCAACAGATAACCAGAGGGCCTGGACTTTTACTGTCAGAGATTTTCAATCTTGCAGCCAGGTTAGAAGCAAAAAAAATATCTTATGCCTGGGTACCATAAAAAGGAAAATACAGTCTGAATCATTTGAATGTTTATTCCAATTCACATCAAGCTGTAAGGTGAGGATAAAACTCTTCCTGGGAGATTAAGCACCAACATAAACACGATGGCGATGGTTTTCACAGAAATATATAAGGCAACACAGAAAAGAGATTGTATGGGTGAAATTATCAATATATCTAAATAATTAAGTCAAAGGGAGTGTTGCCAATAATAATATTAATAAAACAAGAAGTTGGCTAAGGAAGGCTAAAATATCCAATATTAGTAGGTCTTCCATGAAAAAAGAATCAAGTGAATTAGGGGAGATTTTCTGGAGGAAACAGCAGTCCATTTCATAATATTTTTATAAAAACCACTGAACTCAGTGAGCCAAAACAGGCCATAACCTGAACAATATGCCAAACTGCAGAAGGAAGAAACCACTGCAGAGGATATCATGCGAGTTCCCAGTGGCCCTGCAAGGAGCATTGAAGTGCTACCAGCCCCTGAAATCTGACCAATTACACCTGCCTCCTTCAGTAACCCCCCAGTTTACAAAAATAGAGGAAAGGACCAGATTGTCAAGGAATGTCCAAATCTGGATTGAAGCCGAATCGACTGGGCACACTTCCTCCCCCCCCCACGAAAAAAACTTTACCAAAGTACCCCATTATTTTGAATCCTATGCATGACACTTGCAGGTTTTTAGGTAGATTCTTGGATGTTAAAACTTTGAACAAGTTTAACAGATTTGATCTGATTACACGAGGAAGGACTAAAATAACAGCCTATCCTCCATGGAGGGGAAGCCAGCAGTTTACAATGTTTTAAAATATTTCTATGTCAAGAATACACAAAACGCAAAGTTGTAGAATATTGCAATAATAAATATTGAGGACTCCTAATTCCCAAGTGAAGCCAGTCTCACAAGGGCAAATACTTAACAAAAACTGCTCCAAGTGTTTCTCTGCTACCTTCCTCCAGGAAGCCTTCCACCAGCACCAGAATGGATTGGCAAGGACAGGTGAGGGATCAGAGTAGGCTCAAATTGCTGTCACTCTTAGACTGCAAGAGTCAAGTTTGGGTAAAGGCTCTAAATGTGCTTCATAATCAGGCTTGCAAATCTGTAATTGATTTAAGAAGGACAACTATTCATTTAAAAGTCTGATTAACAATTATGAAAAAAAAATCCAGTTAATCAGTAAGGCTAATCGCAAGCCAAGAATCGGGCACTTTGGAAAGGTCAGCCTTTTTATTTTTGTTTCAGTTTTAATTATTATCTATGACTTTAAAATATAGTTCTTGAATAAATGTTACTAAAAAAAAAAAGAAAAAAACTAGACACAGTTGTTGGGTCAAAAACAGCCACTAGGTTGTAACTTTTAATGTGACTGAGGAGGAATAGTATGAAATACATGTGGAATAATCATATTGCTTTCATTTGATTCTATTAAAGTTTGAATAAAATGAATTTTAATTTTAAATCTCTTCCTTTTTTATTTTAGTTTCACACCCCCCCCACCCTCCCCTCTCTTTCTCACACACACACACTTCACACACCATGCAGAGATACTTGGCTGGCCCTGCAGCTCTATATGATAGGGACCCTGGCGGGTTTCAAAATTCCAATTAAGCTTGGAGAGAAATGAGGCAAATTGCTTTCCTCGGAGTTCTGCTTCAGCTCAGAAGCTATGGGTGATGAAGTTGTTTGGAACCTACATCTCACCCAAGAAGTGCTCTAGCCATCTCAAAAGTTAATACCACTGAAATTAAGGAACCCATTCCCACAAAGATGTAAGATTTGCAGCCTGACGATAACATGGATGGGAATATTCTGACTTGGAGTAATTTAAGAGAAATCTGAAGTCAAATTCTTTGATCGTGTCCTGTTCCTATTAGGGTGCTTATTCTGATTTTAACTGTGACCTCCTCAATGTACATTTCAAAATTGGAAATTAAAAGATCTGGAAGCTTTTCTATGCTCATACACCAGTTTACTTGGAGAAATCACTAACATGTTAAAATAGTCTCCCCCAGAAATATATACATGAAAGGGAAGCTTTTACACAGTTGTATAAATACTTAATGCCACTAGTCTTTTGTAGATGTCAATCAAGATGTGTTATGCTGTCTTTTAGGGAAACACATTCCAATTTTCACTACTTTTGTCTCTGAGTACTTAAAGAAACAAACTCACAGAACCAAATCCCCAGCAGAGAAAATCTCAGTGTGAATGACCTCTTCATGTTTTGTTGCTTTCCAGGATGTTGGGATTATTATAGGATAATGCCCTTCCCCAGTAACAGGTGTTCTTGTCTGTGCATATTATTTATATATGCAAGTTGCTAATCCTCTTGTAATATTTCAAAAGCACTTGGTCAGTGTGCCAATTGTAATTTACATTTGAAGCTACAAGGTGATCCCTACAAGCAATTTGCCATTAATAGCCATAACCTGCAATGAAAGCTTCACAACAGGGCAGCATCATGTGATTGTGTACTTCTGTTGCTCTTTGCTCTCTGGTAGTGTTAAAAACAAGGGGAGGTCAGCTTTAGTCCATTTGGTTAGTTCTTCCTCCTCCTTCTCCTCCAGATACAACTCTCTCTTTTGAGGGGGGAAACTGAGGGGTCCGGTTTGGGCCCTTCCTGATCCCTCTGACATCATCACAGGGAACCAAACACCTAGAATGAGGGAAGAGAGCTTACTTGCCCCTGTTTTAAGAAGACAGTGAATCTTATCTATTTGACTCCAGCCTTGCTACAACTCCACAACAGGGACCCCAACAGATATGTCCTAGGGAAACAGAACTCTTCATAAAATACTGTCTGCCTACTTCGGATTTTAAATCTTAGAACTGGTTGGCAGATGAAAAACAATTTGGATAGAAGAAAGGCTGCCTAATTAAGCAAATTCTACTTTGCAGTTCAGGGCAACCAGCCTTAGCCCCAGCTATCCCACTTCCAGGGTAGACCCCCAGATTCCTGGGGTGAGGCTGCCCAGGGCCATGCATCACTGCACTAGAATGGGACTCCCCATTACTGGGCAATCAGTCATCCCAACCTAGTCAACAGTTTCTTCCTATCCTGTTTCCTGCCTGCCTCATCTGAAAAGTGGCAGGGGAGAATGGGATCAGGCATATGGCTAGAGTTGAACCCATTGAGACTGAGTATTAAGGCTTTCCAAATGGTGTTTTTTTTGTAACAATGTCCCTCATTTTGACAATGGCATTTTTGAGTTAGCTGAGGAATTGTCAGTTTCTCTTGCCATCCGTAGACAACTAGCTGAAGGATAGGAAAGATGGTAGGAATCAATGGGCAATAAGCTATTACTTTGAGAAGTAAGAAGACTCTCATGGGTGATTGATTTCTAATGATTCTGTTTTCTTTTTGTCACTGAAATAGGCAGTGCCTACAGCAGTTCTATAAACGTTGCATATTGCAGAAAATAAGAAAATATCATTTCAAAAGCAACTTTCTCCAATAAAAAAGGTATCTCTCCTTCTAAAGAATTTGAAAACTCTGAAAAGTAAAAGTATAGTTAGATTTTGTATCCAATATTAAATTGGATAAATCTTTAATTTTTTTTAGTTCAGATTCTGTTAATGTCCCATTTGGAAAACACTGGTGTACTTCAGTTTGCAAGAATCTACCTGCAATGTTCATCTAGAGAAGTGTGTATATGGAGGGGTTACCAAACCTAGTGTTGCATGAAGTCTCTCCTTTAATACACCTGGTGCCATAATAATTAGCATGAACAGGACTCTGCATACCTCTTATCAATCCAAACGCTGCTTCTCACATCATTTGCAGCTTGCCTATTTGGGTACCCATTGGTAATGATATGTTAGACTTTGGGCCTCAAAACTAGCCTTGGCTAATCTTGAGGCCCAAACACTCTTTTTTAATAAAAAGATTTGCATAAAATGAGTTGAAAATACGTCTAATAACAACACAATACACCAACTCTGAAAGGAACCGATTATCCAGTTGCAACAGAATAGAGCACAACAGGTTTGTGCGGCTTGATCATCAAGTTAAAGGTCATCTTTTTGCTGTCACTAAAAATAAGTTACAATGAAAGTTTCAGGGGAAGGGGTATTCTCACCACAGGGTGGTGTCACAACGAAGCCTATTTGGTTACAAGCATCCTAAAATCTTACCCTCTATCTTTTTAGATTGGACAAAGGGGGTCAACCTCACAGCAGAGCTTAACAACCCACCTCTTTTGTGTGAATTCTGGCTTTCCGAAAGTATCTTGAAGTAGTCAAGTCTATTTGCCCTGAAGATGTGGTTCTGTCAGTGGGCCTGGGAAAAGGAGCGGGAGGGATTAAACAGAATTAGTCTGCACATTTATAGAGAAAGGATATAGATTGTAGTTACATATGGATCAAGTCTTTTTTCAGACTGTCAGAAGACACGGCTGTTTTAAAGAGGTGCTGTGCTTGTAAATCTTTACATTTTAAAGCATTTCTTCCCAATCATTTTGAAAATATGCACAGCAAGGGTGGGATTCAAATTTTTTCCCCACTGGTTCTGTGGGCGTGGCTTGGTGGGTGTGGCTTGGTTGGCATGGCAGGGGAAGGATACTGCAAAATCCCCATTCCTTCCTGATCAGCTGGGACTCGGGAGGCAGAGAATAGATGGGGGCGAAAGTTGGAGGGGGGCGAAAGAAAGGGTGTATGGAGGGTCGAAGAGGTACATTGGGTTTCTATTTTGGGGGGTACTGTTGA